CAGGGCAGCTGTCTACCAGCTCCATCTGGGACGCAGGCTGAGACCCTACCTGCCCGCAGACTGTCTTGCCAGAGTGGTGTATGCTCTAGTTATCTCCCACTTGGACTACTGCAATGTGCTCATACCTTTGAAGGTGACCCGGAAACTACAACTAATCCAGAATGTGGCAGCTAGACTGGTGACTGGGAGCAGCTGCCGAGACCATATAACACCAGTCCTGAAAGACCTACATTGGCTCCCAGTACATTTCTGAGCACAATTCAAAGTGTTGGTGCTGACCTTTGAAGCCCTAAATGGCCTCGGCCCAGTATACCTGAAGGAGCGTCTCCACACCCCCATTGTTCAGCCCAGACACTGAGATCCAGCACCGAGGGCCTTCTGGCGGTTCCCTCACTGTGAGAAGCAGAGGTTACAGGGAACTAGGCAGAGGGCCTTCTCGGTAGTGGCGCCCGCCCTGTATAACACCCTCCCATCAGATGTCAAAGAAATAAACAACTACCTGACGTTTAGAAGACATCTGAAGGCAGCCCTGTTTAGGGATGTTTCTCATGACTGATGTTTTAATGTATTTTTAATTTCTTGTTGGAGGCCACCCAGAGTGGCTGAGGAAACCCAGCCAGATGAGTGGGGTATAAATTATGATGATGATGATGATGATGATGGTGATGACCACTACATATGAATGAATTACTTCATATCAGACAGTCCACATGTGGACCTCTATAGCTGCCCACATGCTTTCCTAGAGATGTGGACAAACTGATGTGGAGCCCTGCAAACCCTTCCTCAAGGGACATGGCTACGCAGAGCCGATCTGTGACTTGCTCTAAATCTGTGACTTGCTCTAAATTCTAGCAAATGGCTTTCTAATGATGAAGTGGCAATATGTTATTGACTCCGAATGTGAAGGCTTGGGAAAGGGGGAATTACAGAAAACAAGAAAACAAGAAGTCTTTTCAATATCAGCTGGTGCTAGGAGACACAGATAAACAACACCAAATAAACAACTTTTGTTTTGCTGAGTAGCAATAGATACTAAGGATCTGAGGTTTCTTTCCTCTTTCTTGTGTTTTCTTGCATCTCCAGCAGCCTTACTTTACTTTCTTTTTTGCTGCTGCACCAACCTTAGCAAATGCATTTTGATTAAAACAGAGAAAGAAAATGTGAAGCAGATATAACCAGGTGTAGTATTTGTGTTCTGTTGTACATTTCTTGTAGACAGCAGTGAAAACATTCACTGCTTAAACTCCCTTCAACTTATAGGGGACGAGGCAGCTTTGCCCACCAAAATTTGAATAATAAAAAAGGTGTTTTAAGAGCCGCTCTATTCTTCTGATTGTAAATCATTTTAACTGGCTTTAATCTCATCTTTTTATATTGCTATAACCCACCGTGGGATCTTATGATGAAGGGTGGGCATAAAATGCACCGTGAGGATATTAGGGTTGGCATACATCTGGAATTTTCCAGACATATCCAGAATACTGCTGTCATAAGCAGTGCCTGGGCGGAAATCGCGCATGCAAAAAAAAAAAGTATGGGAAAATCTGGACATATGGCAACCCAAGTTGGCAGTGTTGTTTAGGGCAATTTTCCTTTAAAAATAGTAGTATTTGATGTTACAAATATAAAGCTATAACAGTACCAAATACATATTCATATTTAGAGATTTCTCTGAATCTCCAGACTTCCCACCATCCCTTCCATGGGTCCTATTGTCAACATTTTCAACAGCACATTATTTCATCATCCATATTTTATATCTCTCCAGATTGCCCATAGTATTTGTTACATTACAAGTGTTATTAGAATCCTGCTAATGTTTTCATCTGCCTACAGTGGTCTCCTAAATCAATGATAACGCTTTCCCATTCTTTGGCGGTTTTCCTTTAAAACAGTTCAAAAACTACTTCTTTTCCTTTGCTCAACAACTTTGGGCAAAACTAAAAAAAGCACAACAACTTTTCACTGTTTGAAATAGGGCAACTCTAATATGATTATTGTGACTATTATTGCCATCACCTTTTATGAACACAAAAAGAAGAGCTAGGATAAAACATTAAATATGACTGGGCAGCAAGGCACAAAGCAAAAGCCCCACATTTCAGTGGTAGGCTACTATTTTGGAAATGGCATTGCTGGTCACAATTTCAATAAGTAAGGGACTACCAAATGACTGACACTTAATGTTTGCTCAGATATCATTAACCATGAGCTGGGCAGTCAGATGCTTCATCCAGCTGCCTTTGTCCAGCAAACATCCTGCACCTAATGATCCAAACTTAATTTTGGAATGCTTGCTCTGAATGTAGCTTTCTTTCCCCCAAACCCATCTGTTTTGCTTCATCGAAAGCTCTTAATCATTTTTTTTTAAAAAACAACCCTCTTAATAACGACAACAGCGATGGGTGCAAATTATACCGCTGAGGGACTAACTCCCCATCCTGTTTCAGTGGGATACACAGCATGTCAAATGCAGTCAGTTGCAGGAAAAATGCAGCCAGCATGTCAAAATGCAGCCTACGCTCCCCTAGAAGATTGGAGAAGATGTCTGCAACCAGCTGTTTGCCGCGTGTGCAGCTGCTGATTGTGTGTGCGGGCAATGGTGTGTTCATATTGCCACATCTCATGAATAGTTGCTGTTTGCATTCTGCTTCCTGGTTTTGTTGTGCGAAAGCTTGCTTCTCTGCAAAAAAGAAAAAGAAAAAAAAGGAACAAGGATCTCGTGCCCTGACACTTCCTGGTTTTTATCTTTCTAACCTTTGTCATTCGTATCAAGCCTCCTTCTTTAAAAAGCACACACACACACAAAAAAACCCCCAATACCTCTAGGCGAATTGGTAGCATTGCGCCTGCAGCAAGCATGACGCAAGTGTAGGGAGGCAATGATGCAAATTTAACATTTACTTCTTTCTGTCTCTAGTAAGCCTTTGCCCTCCCTCTCAGCTGGAGCACTGTCACCTACTTCCAAATCCAGATGGATGTCTCATTGAAAGACACAGAGAGGTTTCCTCTACTACCAGGAGACCATTCCTTAGGTATTAGCTCCCACTGCCAAAATAGCAAATGATCATTCAGGACTGTTAACCAGCCTAACCAAGGGATGTTTTGGAAATGTGACAATAGTACTGATGGCTTCTCCCAAAGAATCCTGGGAACTGTAGTTTGTGAAGGATGTTGAGAGTTGTGGCTCTGTAAGGTGAAAACTATGGTTTCTGGGATTCTTTGAGGGAAGTCATGTGCTTTAAGTGTGCATTGAATGCCCTTTAAAGGTGTGGTGTGGATCTGCCCATAGTATACAAAAAGAAGATGCAGCAGGTTCTTCACCATCCCTGTGAAGCTTAAGTTCCTTTCGGCTTCATAGTTTGATGGACAGCCACAGTGTGATAGCCTCTTGCATATTGTATATGCATGTGATGTTGGGGGTTAGGCTTTGGGGAGAAGTGGAGACAACTGCTCTGCTCTTCACACACAGAGGGGACGCATTAAATCTGGCAAACAGCTTACTTCAAAGAGAGAGAAAAATGATATTGCCACAGGGAGAGAAGGAAATTATCACTCAGCATCTGAGTTTTCAAAGAGGGCACCTTAGGTAGTGTTTCCGGGATGTTATGGGAAAATTAAATAGGTAGCTTAGCCCACCAGGTGAGCTTGTAGTCAAGAATCCACTGGGGTGCCAGTAGACAATTTGCCAAGGAACCCCTCGAGTCTGGTGCCCTGCATGGATTTCCAGACATCTAACTTTGTCCTGAGCTCATCCTAAAAGGGGCATCAATCTGGGCTGTCTTACAACCTCTGTACTTCCCCCTTAGGACACTTGGGCTGCAACAGACTTTCAGGTTCCACAGTTGCCCCAGGCCTGTTCTGTCACCACTTCTTTATTAAAACCTGCATCCCTTTCATAACCAACTTTTTGCTTTTATTACTGGATCCGTACGTCAGATCTGTGCCAATGTCGTCTTGGCACACTGCCCCAACCTGTCTAAATCCTCCAGTTTTCCTTCCTGACACCAGAGTTCTCTTCCCATACCACTCAAGTGAAGATGGAAAGTCTGTAGAGTGAGGTTGCGGGGCTGTGTTTTGAGTCCCACCCATGGCATGCATGTCCTGCTGATGAGATCCAAACATTTGCACAGAGGTTTCCCCAGATCTTGGAACCCTGGTACGTGTAATGTGAGTATGCTAAAGCTTCTCCTTTATAATTTCTGCTGATATTAATAGCAGGTCCTTAGCAGGAGCACTGTTCCAGAAATATGGGAATCTAGAAAGTGGAAATTGAGTGTATTGGAAAGCCACTGGGTTTTGCTTTCCTAATTATTCCATGTCCCTCTCCATTGCATCCCAGATCACAGACTGAGCAAGCAAGAGTCGGACTAGATGGCTTCTGATGCCCCATCTCTAGAATTTTGTTCTCTTAAGTACAGAACTCCTGGCTCTTGGCAAAGAAAATCAAGGCAGCTGACAGCTACAGTCAAACAGGTGATATAATGTGAGTTTATTCTGTTTGCTCAGAATATCCGCCGTGCCTCAGAAAGGTCAGTCGCTTTGCAGGCAATCTTTGTATCTTCTTCCCGGATGTACCGGTTTGTATTCACAACAAGGAAAGATTTGTAGAGCAAACAGACGAAGACATATCTTTGCTTCAGTTTGAAAGTTCAGGTGTTGCAGTCCTGCTATTTATGGAAGTGTCAATTACAGAAAAGAAAAGAAAGCACCTTTGTTGTTACTTATCTCTGAATTGTTCTCACCCATTCCTTCATGAGGCAAGTCCAAGCCACACCATTGCATTCTGCCTCGCTCTGGTTTGTACCTGTCATTCTGGTCTAGGGAATGAGGGAGAAATTTGAATCAGTTTGCATTTAGAGGTGAGTTTACCTAATCCACATCTTCTGAAACAATATGTGAACCAAAACTCAGCCATCCCTCAAAGTTTGCGCTTCATAGAATTGTAGAGTTGGAAGGGACCATGAGGATCAACTAGCAAAGCAGGAATATGCAGCTGTCCTATACAGGGATCAAACCTGCCACCTTGGCATTATCAGCACGATGTTCTAACCAACTGAACTATCCAGGCTTTCTCTGAATTTTGCAATTCATTTCTCCAGCCAAGAAACACACACAAAACTGCATTTATGGGGGGGGGGGGAGTGTGTGTGTTAGTAAGGATGCAGAACTCTTTGTGCTCCATAGGCCATATCCTGATCAGGATTGGCCCCAAGGGCCAAATTCGTCAGGTGGGCAAGATCATCCACATGTCAATCATGTGACATCATAGAAAGGGAGGCAGCCCTGTTAACCTGTCAAATATCCCTTGCTGGAGCAATGTTAACATGAGAGGGGCGGTGCTTCAGGGAGTGGTTTGCCCTACCCCTCTCTCAAGCACCCCCTCCATTAAAGACCACTCTAGGTTTCATTGAATTGAAATGAGTGTGGCTTAGAGTGCCTTAGGGCTGGGAGCAGAACAGGCTGCTGGTCTTCAGGAAAACGTTAACTAGAGGGGGAAATGCTAATTACTAAGCCCACATCAGTGACCTTCCTTCTCCTATGATAAGCAAGAATGCTGCTAGTCTGGATAGGCTTTAGTCACGAGTCCTGTTTTAGTCAGAATTCAAGTTCTGATACAGGGACAACGGTTCAGAAACCCAGAGAGTCAGTGTTCCACCAAGAAGGACCACGAAGCTCCAAGCTGAGCACCTACTGCATATCTGCCTTCTTGTAAGTAATCATCATTGAAGTCAGTTGGATCTACTTCTGCTTAAACCTAGGGTTACAGAGCATCTGAATTGACCAGAGTGTGTGGGCCTTTTAGCCCTGCTGGGAATCCTGTCCATACATCACTCCCATCTCTTTGGCCACCCACAGAAACACCTGCTCCCTGGAAAAATTCTCCACTGGGCTTGTCCTTGTCCTCTTTCAAGATCTAGGTATGGGTCTGGTCAGCCTTCCCTGATAGAATTTGTTTATTCGTGATATGTAGCAGAAGTCCTTGCACAGCAGCAAACCTGCAAGCTTCCTCTAAAGACCTTTAGCACGCAATGTTTTAGCTGCCACAGGAAATGCACTCGACCATTAATGCGCACAGTAGATTATCCTGTTCATCCACAACTTGCTGGCTTACCTAACAATAACCACAAGTGTTCGTATATAGATGGCTTCAAGCGTGCAGTGGTTGGAAAGACTCTCGCATGCATGCTGCATTTCAGTTTTAGTGACGTTTCAGCTCGCAAATTAGCAGAGGTAAACAACTTGTCCCAATCAGAGGATGCTATGGTTAATGCAAAGGAGCACACTTTGTACAAATGAAATGGAAGCGGTCTCTGTTGGTTAATAGTCCACAAGGTAATGGCAGAAACTAGAGTAGGCTGTACAATTTGGGACTGTAGGAAACTGCCCTGTATAGAGTCAGCCCATTGGTCCATCCAGCTCAGTATTGTCTTTGCAGATTGGCAGCAGCTCTCCAGGGTTTCAGGCAGTCCTACCTGGAGATGCTGGGGATTGCACCTTCTGCATACAGTGCAGATGCTCTACAACTGAGCTACAATCCTTCCCCTAATTTCAATAGGCAACCTATAGCATCTCCAGTTTTTCTGATGTCGGGGCATCTCAAGCCTATGTGAAGAAGGAAAATGCTATACTCTCTCTGGCATGAATGATTGAAGTGTTTCTATATATAAGCAATTATTGAGGGCATAAAGTACTAACTTAAGACCCCTGTGAAATAGGATTTCTTGACACTTTGATAGATTTTAACGATTGCAGCAGCCGTCCTAGGTACATTTACTTGGGAATAAGCTTCACTGAATTTACTTTCAAGGAAATAGGACTGTACATGGGGCTGCCTCTGAAGGCAATCTGGAAACTTCAGCTGGTGCAGAATTCAGCCAGGGGCGTAATGGGGTGTGTGTGTGGTCTGCCCCGGGTGTCATCTCTGAGGGGGATGACAAAATCCCCCCTGGGTGGATTGCTGTGCCACCCCCCTGGGCGCCGATCGCCCCTGATGGGACCAGCCGCAGGCTCCACGCTGTCTGCCTGCTGCCTCTTCCCCAGCTGTAGGGTGGATGAGGCCCCTTGGCACATCCCATCCTATTCCTCCCTAAGAGCACTGCACGTCCAATCCCTATGGGCCCTGCGCCCCCTATGGGTGGTTCGCCCCACCCCTATGGGCGGTTCACCCTGTCCCTGGGTGCGCCATTTGCCTGAGAGGCTTCCTTCGCCACTGAATTCAGCAGCCAGGTTGCTCACTGGAGCAAGATGGTTTGAACATTACAACACCAATCCCGGCCTGACTGCAATGGCTGCCAATTACTTTTCGGGCCCAGTTCAAAGTGCTGGTTTGGACCTGTAAAGCCTTAAATGGCTTAGGGCCACAATACCTCAAGGACCTCTTCTTCGACCCTGACCCTGCCACCATCATCTGCTCCCATTTCTGGTATAGTCCAACGAGTACCATGTACCAATGCAATTCCACTGTATGTGTAGATTGGCTCTGTGATCCCTTGGGATGCTGACTTAACCAAAGGGTTGATACTGTTGCTGTTGCTCCCATGGCACCCAAAACTGTTGCCTGCCCATATGGGTTGACAGAAAGGAGTCTAGAATAGTCCCTTTACTTCACGGAAAAGAGCAACTTGTCAGCATGCTCAGTTCTCACTGGGCTATTTTGAGACGTCTCACCCCACCCATGCCTTCAAGTTCTTTTTTACTTCTGCAAACCTCAGAGGGTTCATGGACACTGGATGTCCCAAATCATCATGATTGCTTTGTTTTATTTTACAAACCAGACTTTCCTCTTTCTTTTGCATACAGATACTTCCAGTTTTTGATTTTCTGTTTCAAATTGAGTTATTCACTATTCACTAATTTCTGCAAACATTTCCACTGTGTGTTTCAGATCCCGTTATTTTTTATCCCAAACATTGACTTTTATTTGCAGAGCACAAAATAAACAATTAGGGTTAATGTTGTCAATGTTAACCTTTGCTTTAATGCCATGCTTACATGACAGTGCGCTACACTTGCCAAATAGCCCATTAGAAGTCGATGTCAGTGGACTGGGATATTCCATGATAAAAATAACTACCTTTCATAGCAGATGGCGCTAAATTGACTGGGGGAAACCCACAAAACAAATCCATAGCCTGAGCATTTGATTTCTAAATGACGGTCAAAATCAGCAGGGCATGATTCAGCAAAAGGTAATCACTTTAAGCCCATGTGATTTCAGTGCAAAAGTTAAGCATGCAAGTAACTTTCAGCAGCTAAGTTCAATGAAGTTAATAAATAAATGCCTTTTATATTCTTCAGATACTGTGCTTTACTAGATGGAACAATTCTATGTAGCTTTTTTTGCAATTTTGAGGATGCATTTTAATATTGTATTTTTCTCTTTCAATTTTTTTGTAGTCCGGTTCAAGAACATATGTTATTGGGCAGCCATATAAATATTGTGAAAATAAATAAATAAATGTTGAACTTCCACTGATTTGTAGACATATTTCAAGGGTACAGTTTGTCAGCCATGTTCTTGGGCTGTAGTCTGTCGGTGCTCTTTTTGGTGGAGAGTGCAGAACATTGTTGTACTCCAAATTCCATTAACCAATGGGCAGGAAAGGTTTTCAGCACCCAGAGGGCAACACGGTCCCCATTCCACAGCCTACAGGAAAAGCTGATGATTTATGGCTTATTCAGATACTAGACCACCAAATGTTTGAAACCAAAAGAGGAGCTTATATTTATGGTAACTTCCCCAAAAGTCAATTTCAGGCACTGAAAAGAGAATGAAACAGCAAGTTTCAAAGAATGGCTGAGTGTGGTTATTCAGTTACTCCTAATAATTCTACCCCACCTTGAAACCAAACAGGTCCTTCATCTTAAAGCAGGCATGCCCAAAGTTCATTTCAGGAGTCCAATCCGGCCCGCCGGTCGGTCTAATCCAGCCCCTGTGGCAGTTTATTTCCAGGCGTAAAAGCTCAACAACTTTGGGGTAAAATCATAAAAAAGAACAAGTATGGTCGGCTCTCACACATGTTCACTTCTTTGAAAAAAGTTTGGGCACCCCGTCTTAAAGAAAGGGCATCATAATCCTATTCCCTTAAAAAACAAAAGTGACATTATGAGAATAATAGGTTGTAGCTAATGTTAGTCATAGAGTAGATCCATTGGGCAACAAAGTGCTTCCCCTAGCACAAAGCTTTGCATTTGTGCAATGGGCTGTTCTTCCCTCTCCTTTCCTCACACATCCCTGCAATCTCTCCAAATCTTCCCTCAAAGCCTGGGGAAAACCCCAACACAGTAGAAAGAGAGCATAGCCAATTTTTCTTTCACTAGCAGGAGCACTTCATTGGATACCACCCAATAAAAAGCAATAGGCACAGATTCAGCGGCTCTACTCTGAGTAAAATTTAGTCTGGTAATTATGTATTTTGAACTTTTTTACCAACCAAGGTCCAGAGTATGGACGCCATATCACAAATTAGAGCCCAGCCCAGTTTGCACTTATTGAACCCATCTTGTCCGGGATTCAACATGTGCCCAAGCTATGACTCAGTTCTTCCTGCGAAATTGTCTGAACTTGGTTTAAACCCAGATGCGTTGTGGGTTGCAGCATTCACAAACACAGTGTGATGCACATTCAACAAAGCAAGTGAACCTGTTTTGACTTCCACCCTTAATTAGGCTCATTTAGCATCTGGAGCAGTGTCTATGTCATTAAATGAATTGGAAGGGATGGGGCGGTTGCTACAGTATAATCCCAGCTCAAGTCACATTTACTATTCCACCATGAGGCTGCCAAATGTGGAGTGAGCAATTGTGTGGTAGCAATGAGTTGCACTGACAGGTGGCTGCAGGGTAAAGTGGTGTCACAATCTGTTTGGTGCATACTGAGCAGATCTGCTCAAGCCATTTTAACAGCTCATCCATCCATTTATTTTTTAATACTTACAAAATTTCTCTTCTGCCTTTTTTTAGATGCACTTACGATTGATAGACACATTTTTGCAAGCAACCTCCACTAATACAATGTATTTTTGTGTGCTATCTTCACTCATATATGAGTATTTATACACATTTCTT